CAGAGCTAGAGGTGCTGATAAGAGCAGACACCTCTAGCACCCGGGGAGGGGCTCCATCTATTGATGGAAATGATTGTTATTGGAACCTTTGAAGCTTCAGTAGGTATGCCACGTGTCCTTTCTACTGGAGGAGTAATCATATGAACAGTCCTCTAAATCACCACGTAAGCACACCTAATAGCCTATGAGCAGCATTGATCGCCCGTCACTATGGGGATTAACTGCACATCACAATTTCGAAAACGCAATTTGCAAGTCAAATCTCCACTCTGAGTTCCTCGTCATCTACACATCATGTACACAAAAATCCGCAGCGTGGCAAGATGAGGAACTGCCCATCGCATTCCTGTTGTGATCACGGATACAATCCTCTAAGGAAACACAGCTTCAGCAGATCATGGATTAGGCTCTGCCTTGCTGGCAGGGGACTCGTAAGAATAAGAAAAGAAAGAAAAATAAGAAAACAACACATCTACAATCTGACTGTTTTAGTCGTAAGATTCATTCTGTGGAGAACTACTGTGAGCACAGCCTCCTAGACTACCCTGTCTGACATCATAAGATCACCACTCCCCCTCACGGCCAAACGTCGGGGGGACCGGTAGGGCACTTTTCGGACTAGGCATCTCACCTACCGGTAGCTATAACCGCTACACTCGCCCTGCAAGTGGGGCCTTTCATTTTTGGTACCTCGACAGCCGAAAAGCGCTCCAGAAAAAGCGCCCGCCTCCACAGCTCATGAAACTCTTTTTTTTTGTTGTTGTCGTTCTCGGTGTCCCGGACAACAGAAACTGCGCTGCAGAAAAGGGTTGGGCTCCACTACTCACGAAACCCACAAGATTGAGACTGGATCTTCCGCAAGAAAACACGGGAAAATACACAGCCATATTTTCCTTGCCAACCACGAACTCTGACGCGGTGAAGTGACGAACAATATGACTGTGTATCCTTCCATTTTCTAGGGGAAGATCCAGTCTCGATTAGAGTAGTGCACCCCGGCCCTTTTTCAGCGGCGCCGTTTTGGCTGATAAGACACGTAAGGCTTGGATCCCACTATTGTTAGTGAGGCAATTTTGGGTAAAATTTCGGATCCCACAATGCACCGGGGCTTTCGGGACCCGAAATAAAATTCGGCTGTTTCTACTCGGTGTACCTGTCGTGTCAATTGTACCGTGACACTCGCCGCGATGAGACCTCGATTTTTCCCTGATCCCTAAAAGCCGCCAGCCCCCTGCCCTGTTCCCTAAAGCCGCGATGCGAAAGCCCCTTGAAGGACGGGCCTGTGGAGTCCAAAAAAATTTATACGGTGCGAACGGGAAGGTCCCTGCTCCTACGGGACTTTTCCGACTTTTTGTTAAAAGCGCGATGTGGGATCCAAGCCTAACGCTCCGTGGAAAAGTAACCTTTTCATCCAGCCCCCAGGGTCTGGTCCCACCTAACGTTGTTGAGTTTAGAAAACTCAACGGTGTGACGCCATTTCGACATTATAAATTCAAAACAAGAAATAAAAAAACTGAAAAAAATGCTAGAAACAGCTTTTCTCCTTATTTTTTATAACGTAACTCGGAGAAATGAAACATGTCTGGGACAGTCGGAGTGAAAGTCTCCGTGAAAAAGGGATACTCCCCGTGGTGAGGGGACAGGAGGTCACCATTTGTAAAATGGACAGGGACGACGTGGATGGCCAAATGCATTCATTGCCCAAAGAAGGAAACGAGTTTGATGCCAGACAGC